ACGGAAAAACCACTGTTAGGCGCTTGGGTGTCTAACAGGCAACGCCTTCGTGAAGAGTAAGCAGGACCTAACATTGTTTGGCGTCCTGAAGCATGAAAACAGGTCGAAAGAATGCGAGAAGAACCAGCACAGAGCGGACAAGCTTTTGGAAGACCCCAATGCAGTTTGCGAACTCCACTTGCAACCGCGTCTTTAGCTTAAGGACCATGTGCATATTATCGATGGAAAAAGAAAGTGCACATACCTCACCCATTATCCATGCCGAGGCTGTTTTCAACTTGTACGGCTGACCAAATTTTGTGACCGAGGAGGCCTCCTTCATCCCTTAAGTCAGCTGTACATCTTCATGAAAAAGCTCGAGAATATTTTCACAGAATGTTTTTGCCAGAGTAAGCTGCACTCTGACAGCATTATGGACATACTGGCAATCGTTCAGCGCACTCTCCATTGAAGTTGGTTGCAGTGTGCACGCAGCTACCCTCACAGCGAAAGTAATTACTTTTTACGTTGTCACACTTCTTCATTTTTTGTGAAAGGACTGAACACTGTCAAGGCAGGGAAGCGGCAGAGGGCCAAGCAGCTGAAGATGAGCCGCCACATGAAGTGATTAAGGTGTGTAAATCAGTGACTAGATGGTGTAATCACAGAACACTTATACACTACCATTGTGTACTTCAGTTCTTGCAAATAAGAGCTTCGTGTCAGGAGCAGAAGCTTCGTGTGTATATTTATTTAGTTTTTCACTATGTCGCTCTACATGTCTTACATACGTGTATCTGCATAATTATGATTATTAATAGCCCCCAGAAAACTGTTGTACCATGGTCTACAACTGAAGCAGAACAAAAATTATTTAAGCACAACAATTTCACTTTATAACAAAGGAGCAAACCCAACCAGCACGCCTGCATGGTAAAGCTTTTCTAGGAAGTGAACGTGCCCTGTTTTCTAATTATGTCGGGAAAGGGCGGGCATAATCTTGTTACGAATTATTTTTAGGTTCGGTCTACACAGCATGAACCGTACGTTTTGTCACTGTATCAAACCATATAATTTGTGGGATACATCATCCTTTTTGACGAGGTGTTATATTCGAGGAAACATGATGTGGCCTGAACAAATATAGTGCTTATCAGGAATGCTCAACTAACTCAAGCACACACCCTCCGAAACCAACACACACACACACACAAAGTATTTACTGCGTCCACAGACTGCGCCGGCTGCCATCGTTCTAATTTTCGGGAAGCTGTATCGCAAAAGAAAAGGGAAACACTGTAAAGCGAGAGCACCAGAGGCTCTTAATATAATCAGAGGGCAGTCAAAGCATGGAAGTTTATTACAAATATCGAATAAATGCACGTTCCACCATTTACGAGCGGCCATCGGCGAGCAGCTTCTGCAGCTGAAGCTTCCATTGAATATGCCTGTGGCGCCATCTCTCCTATGTGACGCCAAATGCGTCAGAGTAGCAGCGGAGTAAGCCCACTGCCCTCTTCTAGTACACTGTACCGGTATAGTGTACTAGAATACGGGGTAGTGTTTCAGGGAGGAGCTGTGGCTGATGCAGTTGGTATTGACAGCCGTGAGATAGTGCCACCTTGGCATGGGCTGTCAGCTCACGCTTTGCCTTTTATGCACTTCTGTGCTTTGATATTAGTAATAGCAGGTGTTTAACGTCTCAAAACGACCATATGATTATGAGAGACGCTATAGAGGAGTGCTCCAGTAATTCGACCACCTGGGGTGCTTTAACGTGCACCTAAATCTAGGTAGACGCACCTCAATATTTGTGCCTCCGCTGAAAATGCAGCCGCCGCGGCCGAGATTCGATCCCGTGATATGCACTTGCATACGTCGCGCTTATAGTTTTGTGTTTCATTGCTGACACGTCTGCGAAAAGCTTTCTAATGAGTTTGTTCGTACTGCATTCAAAACAAAACCAAATGTCGAAGCTGAAACACCCGGTCCAAATGCAGGTATTAACAAACGACGGCGAAGCAGTCATCCCTGGGTAAACTGCCTGCAATTTTTAAAGCTCAGTTGGCGAACAAATAAAAAATTAGGAAGATTAAGGTATCGAAGGAACACCTATAAACCCGAAAGTTTCTTGTTATATTACTGTTATATCGAGTCGTAGTCTGTACACTGCGACAGCTTGGACTTCCTTCGTTACGCGCGCGGCACCGTTCTTGTCGATAGTTGCATCATGCAATTTTAATTATGTCGCTAAGGTGGCAAAACTGCCATTTGATTGAGAGGCACGCCGTAGCTGAAGACTTGAGAATAATTTTGACAATCGTGGGTCTTAAAACGATTACGCGCCCGCCGAAGCACTGCTGCTGTGGCCGGGATATTGCAGTCAAAAGAAAACATCACTTGGCACCCCTGTCCAACTGTGTATATATATATATATATATATATATATATATATATATATATATATATATATATATATATATATATATATATATGACGCTATGAAGAATGGGCGACGTGGCCTGGCGCATAGCCCATGTTTATTCCGTTCTGACTTCTTCCTTCTAGGCTTCTATCTACCATCACTTCATACCTCGCACGATTTCGATAGCACCGTTTATAACCTACGAAAAATTGAAGAAGCCAATAAAGATACAATGTCCAAATTCACAGTATCACGTCCCGACAGAGTTCCACAGTCTCTTTAAATCTTCAAGCCCGAGGGAGCAGTCCGGTGAACTCTATAACAACTCTGGTGGGCGAGGCTGACTGTTGCGTTCCGGACAGAGCAGGATACACATGGATACTGACAGTACTGCTAGAACTTTTGTTCGGGCTGACCATGGTTGGAACGCCTTGTTGCATCGGCAGCTCGGATGTCGTCGGGGTTGTATTTTTCGCCGTGAATGGTGCAATTCCGATGCTTCTTGCTTGCGTGCTTCTCGACAGACTGTGATGGAGTGCCTGAGTGCTTGCGGTTTGCAAGCAGTGCTTCCGCGTCTTTCTCGGCGCTTTCTGTGGTGTTGCAGTCTGCGGAATAGCAGGTGCTGGAAGCGTTTCTGGCGACTTTTCTTTGTCCGAAAGTGTCTGACGTCTTGTTGGTTTGGAGATCTTATTTTTCGATGTTCTTCAACTGGTGAACGCGCTTCCATTGAATTTGGCGTTCGCCGATGCCCTCGTTACAGTCTCTCTCGTTGTTTTCTGAGTTGGTGAGCTTCGTTTTGCTTGATTTGCTGGTGCTGCTCAGGAGATGGCTGTAGTGGCGCCCCTTCTGGAATCCGGCATTCATTTCCTTCGAGGTTTGACGTGTCCTGTAGACAGCTGATGCATGGTGAGCTGGTGTCTTGCTTATCGGGCATAGTTGGCAATGTGCCATCATTATGCTCTTCAAAGACTTCGGTAAAGTGTTCCAGTATGGACGCTTCGGGCAGACAGCTGCGTGGAAGGTTTGGTGTATGTATTACTTCTGCATTTTTTCGGTTCTTGGAGCTGTAAACACTGTATGGGGATACCACAGGTTACGTGGCATTACCAGGTTTTAACTGCATATTTTGGCAAGTCTGTGGTGCCGCAGAAACGACACGAAGCTCTTCAGGGGCTTCTTCGCAGTTCACTGCGAGTGGTTCTTGCGCCTGGTAGCTTGCGACGTTCGATGCGTCTGAGCCTTCTGCTTTGCTTCGACTGTCCAGTGTGTGTGCACCGCACGGTGATGAATGAACATGTCCGGAAAGAGCCTGGCTTGACAGGGTATTTTCGTGAAGCATTAGGTCGTCTACCGAGGTCGCGGCGTCCTTATGAGGCGAATGGTGAGCGATAGGAGCGCTTGAAAAACCGCGTGACGAAAACCTAGGTGGTGGACCACTTATGCGAGACGAAGAGTGAAGGGCATCAGGTGGTTGAGCAACGTCTCGGGTCATATGCTGAAGCGATGACTTCGGAAATGCTGACTTTCGCACAGAAGTGAGGCGCGCTTGACGGTTAGGTTTTTCCCGATATACGCATCGATTTCTGTAAGTAAACTCATGTGCCACTTCGTCTTGAGGCAGTTGTCGATTCGCGCTGGGCTTTCGAATGGTTGAGGACTGCTTAAGGAATTGACGATAGTGTGCGGTTGTCTCTAGATGGTTGGCATTGAGCAGGTATTGGTCATAGTCGTTAAAATGGGTAATCATCTCCGCTCTGATTTTTCGCCATGATTCGTCGTTCTCGAATATGTGGGTGAGGTAAAATTTGAATGCCTCACCTGAGATGTAGTCAGTGAAGTTGATGATCATCTCCCATTCCGACCAAGATGCAGCGGCAGCGTGGAGCTCGAATAGGTTAAACCAGTCCTGTACGGGTCCGTCGTCCACTGATCCGGTGTACTTGAGGATGTCAAAATCGTCTGATGGTGCTGTCATGATGCTGGTCTTGGTGTAGAGTTGGGATGTACTTTTGTCGTCCACGTTCGGTCACTGCGTCTTGCTGAGACGTTCGAAGATGGTGGCCGGTTGATGAAGTGGCCGCCAGGTCTTCATCCCGCCGACTCGTGTGATGCTATGAAGAATGGGCGACGTGGCCTGGCGCATACCCCATGTTTATTCCGTTCTGACTTCTTCCTTCTCGGCTTCTATCTACCATCACTTCATACGTCACATATATATATCCTCCTGAGACCCGAGACATGACGTAGTAAAAACCAGCACTTTTTTTTTAACTAACTGAATTTATCAGCGTACAGAGATAATTCTGGTATGATTATTTTCTATGACGTTGCGTTGAAAAGTTATCAGATGTGCAATATATTGCACACTGGGACTAAGTTGTCAAAAAAACCCGTGAACACGATGTCATAGACACGCGCTTTTATTGTCCCCTCTGGTCTCATTTCTTGTGAAATGCTTTGAAGCAGTTGCGGCCAGCTGTCAAGCACAAGAATAGGTTACACTTGCAGCATCTGAACTTCGTCTTTTTGCAGCAGCCGGGGTTTCGACACCTGCGTGCGGACTTTTGGTTCACGATCTCCGGCATGTGTGACGCACTCAGTGTGCACACGGATGATGACGGAAGTGGCACAGCTGCTGGCTTTCGCAGTTGCAAAGCTTCGCAATCACTTTCAGTTGAGGAAAACCCCTTGTCAGAGGCAAGCACAAATGGGCGAGCTCGAGCTTGAAGTCTAGCAGTTGCATAATGCTTTTTCTCTGTGTGCCCAACTCTCGATGGTCTTGCTTGTAAAGCAGCCAAGAGTTCAAGACTCCGACATCCATCATGAAAATGAGGGTCCGAATCATCCACTTCTTTGTGCGCATGGTAGTGGGGTAGAAGCTCAACATTCTGTCACAGAGATCAACACCCCCCATGTAAGTGTTGTACTCTGCGACAACTGCTGGTCTCGTGACAGCAACTTCCTTTCGGTCTTTCTTTGAAAATCGTGTGCAGTCATCCACAGGCTCCATGCCCACGTGGGTGGAGGCCAACACGATTGGTTTGTTGTCGTACCAGTTCGTGATGCATATGTTAGAGACAGTTTTGACACACTGTGACATTGCCCCATGACCTTTCGCACGCACTTCAGGGTCACCTCTGAGTTTGAGCCCTTTCGGAAGACGTGATTTCATGATTGTTCCTGTCCCGCTGATGTTCTTTTCGGCCAGTGACTCATGAAGATGTGTGCCTGTAAAATATCGGTCGAAATACAGCGAGCTTCCACACGGCAAAGTCCCTGCAAGCCTCAGCACAACAGCAGCCCCGATTCCATGTTCTTTCTTTTGTGCGAGGCTCCCTTTTCCCTGAAGGATTTCAAAATCTAGGACAAGGCCTCGAGGGCTTGCCAAGATAGTTTTTCAGGCCGGTCGGGTTGGGCTTCTCAGGAACGAACTGTTTCACTGGGCACTTACCGGTGAATGGAATAATTTGCTCATCAACACAGATGTTTGGTGAGCGCGGCAGTTTGAGGCAAGCGTTTCTGATGATGTTAAGGAGAGGACGGACTTTCCATAGCCGATCGGCTTCTTTCTCTCCATCTGAAACAGCGAGGTCGTCGACAACCTTCAGGTTCGATCGGATCAGAAAAAAACGATCCCTCGTTATTTTGTCGGCTACGGCGGCGACACGCGTTCCTTGGCCCCAATACATTCTCGCTCGAGGATAACCTAAGCAGCTCATGAGCAATGTCGCTCCAAGGAATACCTTCATTTCTCCAGGAGATGAGTTTAACGACCGTCCTGTGCGCTGGAGGTACGACACTTCTGTCATTTCGTGGAGAAGTTCAAAAGCCTGTGGCGCAATTATGTAAAAGTTCCAAATCCGGACAAAGGCGGTCTCTTCCATTGAGTCGCACGCGATTGGCCCATACAAGCTGTGACCAATGCTATGACGTTATGAGTGACGTGGACTGGGGTGTCACGTGACTCTTTTTTTTTTTCGGTTTTCGGAGAAAGGCGAAGGAACGGTCGGAGAGACTGTCCGAAAGCAACCGGATGGATTGAAATGGCTGCAAGGTGGCCTGGATTGGATTGAAATGGAAAAAATGCACGACTTTTCGGCTCTGGGGCACTTAGACAACATGGCGTTTCCCACTGACACGGTACTTCGCCTTGCCTGTGCGGTAGCTTTAACCGAGCAGAGGCGACGACGCGAGGTAAAAGATGCATTTGAAGAGTTCAGCGAAGAAGAGTTCCGACAATGTTTTCGTCTGTCCAAACGAACAGTGTGTAGCTTGTGCGACGAACTTGACCCTATCATCGGATGCCAGCGAGCCAGTGGCCTTTCCACAGAGAGAAAGGTGTTGTGCGCGTTGCGATTTTTCGCCACCGGTAGCTTCCAGAAGAGCATTCGTCGCGAGGAACACATCGGCATGTCTCAGCCGGCGGTGAGCAACACCATCCACGAGGTGACGGAGGCGATCATTACCGTGGCTGCTAGAAAAAGGGTGGCGGACTTCCTACTGACAACAGCTGCTAAGGATGAGGCAAAGGTGGAGTTTGTGCTACGCGGTTGCATATCAGGGGTGCTGGCGTGTGCGGATGGCACGTTGGTCACCATTCGCAAGCCAGAGGGATTCAGACTGGCCGACACGGCGAGCTTCATGTCCAGAAGGAGCTATTATGTCCTGAACGTCCTGATCGTAAGTACTGTTAGGATCGTTTATTACTCGCCCTTCGGAGCAATTGTTCAGTTGTGACGCCAAAGCTAGAAAAAGTAATAATGCAACGAATGAAAAAGAACCTGCAGGGAATTGGGTGCGAGCTAGATGGTGGCTCGCAGGGCCTCGGTAATAATAAGTGGCAAAAGTTTTGTGCGTGAGCCAGTTGCCGTTTTTGCACTGGCATGCATACGCAATTGAATTGTGCATTTTAGAGGTAATCGGTAATATTGGCAGCAGACGTAGCAGAAGTATATACACGACAGGGAAGTATTTCCAACACGAAAGTGCTTACATTCACAATTGCACGAGCTGGCTTTGGTATTTACGAGTGTTCTTTCCCAAGAGCAACGCGTAGCTTTTCACTTATCGATCATTCAGTGGAAGTCGTAGCCATGTGTACAGCAGAGGTGGGGTCGTTGCCACTTACTAGCTTAGCGCTCCCAAACAAGATTAAGAATGTAGTTGTTGCATCTTAGTCTCATTGTGCTGAAATGAAAATATCACAGTGAACTGCAAAACAGACTGATGCAAAAAGATATCACATTACTACACTATGTGGTAATGCTGAATAAAAATCACAGTGAGCTAGAAAACACAGTGGGACAATACAAATATCAAAGAAACATTAACAGAAAATGTCAACTATACACTCGTGGTCTCCGTGTGAATGACTAGACACCTTTGAAATGTGGGTAAAAAACACTGCCACTAGAACAGCTCGAACATACATTGAGAAATGCATATATCGAACGTAAAAAATGCTGCACTCCTTGTACAAAGTAAATGCTAACCTAAATCTAGTAATATGTACTAAATGCAAACAAAAAACGAATAAAATAGAACATGAACAGCAACACATAAACATATCAAAAACACTAAACCAATTATGAATGATAAAAAGTTGAAAACATGGCAAAAAACAAACTAAACTATGTATATGTATCCCGAAGCATATAAAATTGCACATGAACAGCAGCACCTAAACACATTGAAACCGACAAATCATTAATGAATGATGACAAGAAAAAACATTGAACACATGACGAAAAATTAAACTAAACTACGGATCCCTTTCTCGCAGAAAGCCCTCAGCCATGGCCAGTTCCCTCCTGCACCGCTGCCGCCTTCTCCTGTGCCGCTGTCACACGCTGTGCTGCAGAAGCGATGCGGGTGGTTGATTTTTCATCTCCCACAGCACCTGCGATGAATCGTCATGGTGTAAATGTTTAAGTGAGCTGCCGGTAAACCCTTAACCATCTCGAGGCTGGAAGCTGCTCCTGCTACCAAGAATTGCAACGGGCACAACAATTTCCCCTCAGTTGAAGATCAACTGGCCTGATGGCATCCTTTGAAAGTGGGAAGCTTTGTGTACAAGCTAGGCCCTCCTCGTGCGGACCTACAAACATTTGTTGAAACTGCTCTTTATTAATGTCCTCAAATGCATCTCTCACCATGAAAGAGCCCCAGGGCTAACCAACCTTTTGCCCGGCAGTTTATCATTGCAGATACCCGATACCATGCCCTCAATACAATGCATGGTTCTTGTTTACAGCCCAAGTTGGTTTCAGTCATCATAATAGAACATGGAGAATGCTTATGCCCCTTATGTAAAATGTAAACAAAGGGTCTACTCACCTTGAGCACCTTGTCGCCCTGCTCAAGGTTCCAGTCCTGCACTCAATGAAGCACTAAGTTCTCAGATGCTTGCGTGTTACTGTGTCACTGCCATCTACAGCCGCTTCAGTGGCCTCCACATTCATTTCCACTGCAGCAGTGGGAACATTCGCCTGCTGGAAAGTGTAGTAAGCATGATCTTTCAGAAAGTGGGTATTCGTTACTCTGGCTATTTTGCAACCTTAAGTACTAAACATCTGCGGAAATGTTCTGCAGCTATTCAGTGGTTATTGATGTCATGTATTATCATTTTAGTGCATGCACTTGCCCGCAGTCATTGCGTGTTTTACAAATTAATACCCCTTGTACTGCAAGGGCTGCAAACTGAGATTTTAGTTAAACCTACCCACTTTTGATTACTTTCTCGTGCGCTTTATTCCCGTTTAACAAGGTTCCGCTAAAGGCACCCCTTCAGATATCAAACTCTGTCATGGTACCGCTCAGGAACCCGTGATACTGCGGCGGCAGAGTGCTTACCTGTTGATAGGCGAGACCAAAAACGCCACTGAAGCGTGTCATCCCAGTCAACTGTAGAACCCGGCCGCGGAAGCCAGGCAGCCAACCCCCTCCAGTGCCCCTGAAAATATACACTAATGTCACAGAACAAATTGCCCGTGCCATTCGACGGTCACTCACGTTTGTGCGTCTCTGATGGCGGCGGTGTCACGGCGGGCCTCGTGCACCGGCCTGCGCCACCAAGCCTGACATTCCTGCGCAGGCACTTCATGGTTCAGCGCGTCGCTGAGCTCTTGCCACAGCCGCCACCGGTCGGTGATGGTGACGCCGTGCCGCAGCTCGATGGCATTCGCCACAAGCTGGGGATGTTCGTCCATAAAGGCGAGCACCAGCGCGCGCTGAGCCTCGGATAACGCCGATGAGCCGCTGCTGCTGTTGACTACTGGTACAGTTGACCTCCGCCACGATTGCGCTCGACTGAGCCAACAACTTCGAAAGTTGCGCCGTTTAGGTTTGTATAGTGGGGGAGATATGAAAACAGTAACTGCTTGAAACGGGGTTGTACTTAGCGCCACCACGTACCGTCCCGCTAAATTTAGCTTTATTTCAAAACAATAACGAGAAAAATACGTTTATATTGTGCCGTATTCCTTATTGAACGTTTGAAAACTTGTGCCAACACAGTCTGATAATGATCAATAGTAGTTACATTTTTCAACACGTTACAAACACTTTTCACTTTGCTATACGGTCCCCAAGTCCACGTCAAAATGATGACGCGAGGCTTCATTTCGCTCATTGGCTGTTCACTTCCCTTCGTCCTCGCGACCGCTGCGGACCGCCCATTTTTTGACGTCACCGACAGACCGCCTCCGTCCGGATTTGGAATTTGTATATAATTGCACCACTGGTCATCCATGTATCTTGCGTAGTACTGATTTGCGTACCAGCCATCTCTTTCGTCGGCCGTAGAGGACGGTACCTCGGGTAGGTCGGGAAGCATGGATGCGTAGACTTGCTTCCGAGGCCACCTTTCGCGAGAAGGCATGACTGAGTTGGAAACACCGTCATCGCCATCGGTGTCCGAATCGTAGTGGCAATCCTGCTCCTCTTCATCTGCAATAATTTTAACAGTGTATCTAACGGGACAGAAGAGGGGTGCAGTAGAATTTTAAAGCACGAAGTCCACGAAATTTTACCTAGGATTCCGTCGCACTGCTCATTCGCTTCGGCATCATCCGGGGAATCTTCCGAGTCTGACAAGTCCAA